TCTCCAAAACCTACCATTAATAGGTGTATCATACCTCCCAGTACTGCTTGGGCATTTTCTCAGTAAGGAATTTAAACTGATTTGTGATAGGAAACATTACAAGGGACTGTCCAGGTTTAGGAAAAGTTTCAATTAGAAGCAATTGCTTTAGGCTGGTGAGTCTATGTGTCTTACTTTCCACACTGATGTTTTGGGACAGCCGTTGCTATTGGAACAATAATCCACAATCCTCCAGCTTGTTTTAGTCATTAATTCATATATTCAACAAATATCCATTAAGCATCTACAACATGCCAGCTGCTATCTGAGATGCTGGAGATACTTAGGGTGAGCAAGACTAGCAGCTTCTTATGGAACTTACTCCCTTAGTGGAGGGAAATAGGCACAGATAACAAACAGTAAAAAAATAAGTCAATAATGCCAGATCATGGTAGGTGCGATGAGGGAAACAAATAAGATGATGGGCTGGAGATGGACTGGATAGAGGCAGCGCCTCCTACAGGTTAAGTGCTTCAGAAAGGCTTCCCTGGGAATGAGGAGCCAGTCCTGAGAAGGGAGAGCATTCCAGGTCAAGGGAACAGGAGGGGGGAGGGGGATGGAGGGCAGGGCCTCCAAGCAGAGAACAGCAGGGGGAATTCAAGGAGTAGAACGGAGAGTAGCTGGGCTGGAGCTGGTGAATGAGAGGAGAGTGCTCAGTGAAGAGCCTGGGAGAAGCAGATGAGGTCAGTTCATGAAAACCATGCAGGCTAAACAAAGCGTGGGGTGGAGGCTGACCACATGGTTCTTAGGATTCTCTCCCAGAATGCTTGGTGGGTACTTTCTATTTGTGTACATTCTGGCACTTATGCAAGGTACTAAGGGGGCAATCTGGATCTCTATAAACCCCATTATGCTATGAGCAATTACCCTTAAGTCAGTCTCTGCCAACCCCTTTGAGTCGCAGGTCCTATGTTCTGCAGTTTTACTTAGAGACTGAATTGAAAGCAGCCCTTCCTAGGAATATTTCTGTGGAGTGTAATCTATTTGATATTTCATTCTTGTTTCAACTTTCATTTTTAAGTGTACCTAAATAGACACTTGAATGGGTGCCTTTCAAACACCTAAGAATGTAGAAGAAGAAAAATAGTGAACCAAATCCAAGAAAAAGAAAGTAAAAAAAGAAGTAAGGCATGTGAGGAAGTTTTAAGCCTCTTGAATTCATCCAGGGCTGAGGGTGCCCATTGCTCAATAGAGTGTGATTAGAAGGACATTATCAGAGCTTTGCACTTTAGAAATACTGGGCAGCTAGCTAATCAGTTAACTGGAGAAACAAGTCAGAAATCTAATGATAAATTTATATTCAAAGTATTTTTATTTTCTAGTTTAATTAGGATTTCTTCTTTTACCTTTAAAAAATATTTTTAATCTTTATTTTTGAGAGAGAAACAGAGAATGGGAAGGGGGCAGGCAGAGAGAGGGAGACACAGAATCTGAAGTAGACTCTAGGCTCTGAGCTGTCTGCACAGAGCCCAACGCTGGGCTCTAACCCACGAACCATGAGATCATGACCTGAGCCCGAGTAGTTTGCTTACTGACTGAGCCACCCAGGCGCCCCTTTCTTTTATTCTTTCACATGGGTTTAGCTCTTTAACTTGGAAAATTAATATTTTGAAAGCATGAATTCATGTGTGATATTGTTACTGTTTTTCTTCCAAGTAAAAGAGAAATTTTTTCCTGCAAGCACTGGAAGTCTTCTTTCTCCTTGTTATTCTCTGAGAGAGACAAGGCAGCACCGAAGGTAAGGCCATAAGTCAAAGACTTGGTTTCCAACTGCTGTAGGCAAACCATTTCAACTCTCAGAGCCTCAGTTTTCCCTGAAGGGGATATTACACCAGATATTTGGGAATCTCCTCAACTTCTAGCTCTAAGAGTCTGTGATTTTAGAAAGCGAGGAGATGTTTCAGAGAAAGGATAAAGGAAAAAAAGAGAGGAGGGAGACGAGAAGAGACAGACAATAAGAAAAACAAAGTAACGTTTTTAAAGAACAAGAGTTTGGATATGTATTGTAGTCAACTTGCTCCCAGTTAAACTTAAGAAATGCTAAATTAACTTTTCTGGGCATTTTCTCTTTTCTCCTATGCATCTGCTGGTGGAAGTTCAAATGGACACTAAGGTACATTGCAGAAAGGCAAAAGCTGCAGGAACAGGGCTGGTAATTAACATAATTAGCCCGCAAGCCATCCTGATGTGACGACGTGACAATGTGACTGTGACATTAGCTTTCCCTCCTCACATGGCACTCATAAGTCCAAAAGCTTAAAAGGGATCTTTACTCTGTGTGGGCTTTTCCCAACAATCTTAATTCAAAGGCATACCAATTGTTTAATTTATCCAGAATCATCTCTTAAATACTTTGTCACGTGCTTCGTCAAGGATTTCAACATGATGAAAAAGCACAGAAGATACTCTGATAGGTAAAGCTTCGAAAAATTTCTTGGTTCTAAAGCAAGTCTTATATTTTACTTTCTAAACTGATTAGGATTCATTTCAGGCCAAGTTGTCATTCAAAATATATCTCTGGTTTTTGTTTTGTTTTGTTTTGTTGTAAGTATCCAGAGGGCAGACCTAGGGAAAGAATGCTCTTGTTGAGCATACTATATAGATTTCACAACCTCACCTATAGCCTCATCTCCAGTGGCTGAGAAGACAGTATCACTTACAGTCATTCATCTCTCAACCACCCAGGCCTTGAACTCATGCGGGAGGAGGCAGGTGAGTAAACAGCAATTATACCACTCGGTGATCCGGGGTAGTACGTGGTGCTGAGGGAATGCATTGGCGGACCTTGCAGGTGACGTGTGAGGGTGGCTTGGACTAGGTGGTAGCAGTGGAAAGGGAAAGAAGTAGATAGACTTGAGATATATGTTGGGAGAAAACCAACAAGAAAGGGCAATGCATGGCGTATGAAACATAGGGGAAAGGGTGTGTTTCTAGTGTGAGTAAGTATATGAGCATGGGTACCCATTTACTGAGATGGAAAACCAGAATTCTGTTTGGGACATGGTATTTGATAAGCAGTAACTCCTAGATTAAGTTATAACTCCTCCAAGGGATATGTGCATTTTAAAGAAAAAAGCTCTCTAGAATCAAAAAGGGTGAAGCTAGCTAAAGTGGTAGATTGGTGGGCAGTTGGTTGTCATTTTTGGCTTTGGGTTTTTTTTGTTACATTTGTTTTAAATTGAAATATGATAGGGGCGCCTGGGTGGCTTAGTCGGTTAAGCGTCCGACTTTCGCTTAGGTCATGATCTCGCAGTTCGTGGGTTGGAGCCCCGCGTCGGGCTCTGTGCTGACTGCCAGCTCAGAGCCTGGAGCCTGTTTCAGTCTGTGAATCCCTCTCTCTGACCCTCCCCTGCTCACGCTGTCTCTCTCTCTCCCTCCTAGAAATAAATAAAAATATTAAAAAAAAAAAGTTAAAAAAAAAAATTGAAATATGATATAACATAGTATAATATGATTCAATATTTGTATTTTCATGAAATTTACCACAATAAATCTAGTTAACACTGGTATCCACACAGCTACAAAGAATTTTTTTTCTTGTGATAACAACTTTAGGACCTACTCCTAGCATATTCCAAATTGATGATGCCGTATTGTTAACTATAATCACCATGCTGCACCTTACATCCCCAGGAATTATTTAAAGGTTGTCATTTTTTAATGAAGGATTACCTACTCTGCCTATGGATAAGGCTACTTGGGCATGATGACCACATTTTATGGAGATGAACACAGGATCTAGGAGAAAGAGTTCTTTCAGATTTGTTGTTGTTGTTGTTCTGGTGCTAGGAACATGAGGTTTGGTAGAAAATTTTCCCTGAGTTGCTCCTGAGTATATCTTGGCCCACAATTCTGGGTCACCCACAATGGCTTCTGAGGAAGTGACCACCACTCTCCTCCCGTAGCACCACCTCACCTCCAGCCCCCAAATCCATCCACCTTGAGGGAAGAAACAGCTCAAGCTTCCAAAGAGCTGCCAGTCTCTCTGTCTCTGGAAAAGGGGCTCAATTCATCTTAAATTCGGGGAGAAGGAGAAGCTGGAATTGGTAGAATTTTGTATTCACAAAGGAGAACAAGGAAGAAAAAGAGACTATACTATCTATCTGAAGCCAGGTTTTCTGATCCGATTCTCAGAACCCCTGCTCTCCTCCAAAGTTATCCAAGCCCAGTGGCTCCCAAACCCTTGAAAAAATCACAATCCTCAGTTCAAAAGAATTTGTGCATAAAAAAGTTCTTTTTAACTTTTTTCCTGCACATATGAATACCTACTATTCACTCAGCATTTAAAAGTTTTGAGTGAAGGAGCGCCTGGGTGGCTCAGTTGGTTGAGCGTTTGATTTGGCTCCGGTCATGATCCCTTAGTTCATGGGTTCAAGCCCCGTGTGGGCTCTGTGCTGACAGCTCATAGCCTGGAGCCTGCTTCAGATTCTGCGTCTCCCTCTCTCTCTGCCCCTCCCCTGCTCACACTCTCTCTCAAATATAAAAATAAATTAACACTTAAAATTAAAAAAATAAAGTTTTGAGTGGGGGCACCTGGCTAGCCCAGGCGATGGTTGACCTTGGGGTCATGAGTGCAAGCCCCATGTTGGGCACAGAGATTACTTAAACAAACAAATAAAATGACTCAAAAAATAAAAATAAAAATAAAATGTTTTAAGTTACAACACCAGCCCTGAAGAAGCTTTTTATAGGTCCCACTCATTTTACTTATGTTAGAATATGCGGCCACTAAGTAAACTTGGTTCTGGTTATATTATCTACAAGATCAGTTAATCTAGAAGTAAATCATGCTTTTATAGTCAACTTTGCTTTTCATATAAAATTTAAACAGCCAAAGAAACAATAACCGCTCTATTTAAAAGGATATAAATTGTCAATTTTAAAGAAAATGTAATTGCCTATGTACAATTCAGTTCCAGTCTCCATCATCTTTCACAGTTAGTAATACCTGGTTGTCTTACCTGGGACCTGCCTAGTTCCTGGCCTCAGCCCTAGGCCACCTCACTGGCATTGTCATTAGATCAAAAACTCTGTGAGGTCAGGCCCAATATCTGTCTGGGTCACTGCTGGAGCCCCAGGGTCTGGCACACTGCCTGCCTCATCTTAGGGAAACAGAAATATCTCTTCAGTGAATGAATGAGTGGACACAGTCCAGCACCAGGGCTTTAGGATAAACTGAATATGGTTGGATTATTTCTGAAGTAGCTAGAAGGAGATAGAATTTAAGGGGTAAATGTGAATCAAAGCAGAGGGATGTGAGCCAAACACCAGAGGATTATCAAATGGACTTTGTTTTGGTTTTTCACCTAAAGGATTTTATGGGGCCAAAAATAAGAGGTAAAAGGAAAGTTCAGGCTGAGAAGATCAGGAACTTCTCAGAAGCTCAGGTGTGAACAGGGCAAAGAACAAAGGAAGGGTCCCAGATGTCATTCTTGCTGGTGCTGGTCGGTCATGTGACATACAAGCAGGGCCTCCAGCTTAAAGATTAGACTTGGTCTCCAAAGAAACTTCCGTGAAACCAAACTCTTCCTGTGATTGCTTAAAATTTTCAAAATACTTTGATAACAAAAATCTTTACAGTGAATTACACTGTAGTTGGAGAAACCTCGGCTCAAGGCCACATTCCCCAAAACATAGTTTTAAATTGTTCTTAATAACTTACATGGAGGATGAATAGGGTTTTGTGGAAGGGGAAAAAAGCCCAAATGAAAGCTTAAAGTGCTGAAATATATAATTTTCCAATAAGAAAGAAACATGATTTTCTCCTAAGTTTTGATATTCTGCCTGTTGAAGCAGAACTGGTAGTTTTCCTTTTTCATATATAAACTAGCCCTTTAGTGACCATCACAAACAGAAAAATATGACAAAACTACTTTGTGAAAGAACACGAAATTAGAAAAGCAATTTACAAAAGTATACCTTCAGTTTATATTTTGAGAGAGAGACAGCATGCCCATGTGCATGTGCTTGAGCCTACTGTCTGCAGTAGGAAAGAATGACGGCAACATAGATGAGTGGGCGAAGGGTTCATGGGACAACCAATTGAATTCCTGAGTCCCAGTCAAACTAGAAGTTAGATCACTGCCTGGACTTTCCAGCTATGGAATCCAATAAATCTCATCTTATGTATAAGCTAGTTTGAGTTGGGTTTCTGCCACTTGTAATCAAAACACATCTGAACTAAAAAGTAAAATTAAATAATATGCTCTTATTAAAAATAGACTTAATAAACATCTATGAGTCCAAGTAAATTCAATGAAATGAATGCTTAAGCCTATTGGTATCTAAGAAATATTTATTAGCAAACTATAGACAAATCAAAGGTGTTACGAGAATGTTGAAGAAGCCAGTTTTGCTCATTTTTGTTGTTTTCCTTCTGAGACTGGTAGTTTTTGCTTTTGAAATTATAAGAGGAAGAAAACAGATGTGTCAGTTAAGAGAGAAGGAGCTGATTAAGAGGCAGGAAAAGTAAAATGGTAGAAAGGGAATGTTGAGAGATGGCATGGCATATCAGTTCTAGTCTGGGAGTCAGGAGACCTGGGTCACAGCTCTGGCTGGCTTTGTCACTACTGTTCCATCAACTTGGGTAACCCACTTTGACTGGTTGTAATTTCTATACCTGAGAAATAAGGAAGTTTGGGATAAAGGATGATTAAGGCCCCTCTTGGTTTTAACAATCCATCATTCTAGTATATCACCTTTCTGCCAGAAAAATGAAGGAAGCAGGGGAATAGGGTGAGTGACAATTGGATTTGTAGCTGTCAAAAGAGTGACCTAAGGTTTCCAAAGAGGTACAACTTGGATGTCAGCTGCTCTGAGACACCCACATCAGCCTCAGATCATCCCATGGGCAATTGAGGCTCTGACTTTCCCCTGGAGGGTCAAAACATGGTCAACAATGATTAAGCTAGGAATAGAAGTAGATTCAAGGCAGGGCTCCCTGTTTATAATTCATTAAATAATTTATCTAATTCCTGAGATGGAGAGAGGAGAACCAATCTAATCTCCCTCTTCTCTCCCCACCCTCTTCCTATCCACTGAGGAATCCTGACCCACACTAAATTCTATCCAGAGGAGCATACCTGGAATCCATCCAACCTAGCAAGTGCAGCCTGCTTGGCAGAGACCTGAGCAAGCCAGTTTCACACAGGAAAATTCAATAGCCTGCTATTATCACAGCCAGGGAGGCAGGGGAGGAGCAGTCCCCATCTATCACGGTGATTTGAGGAGACAGAGAAGTAAGAATGGGGAGAAGGAGTGAATAAACAAACAAGGAAAGGAATAATTATAGAAGGTCCTCCTGCCCAAAAATTGGGGCTGAAGGACACTGTGTGAGAAGAAAGGAATTTTCTTCTAGCTCTTTTATTTTTTAAAAATATTTATTTTTGGAGTCTTTTTAAAAAATGTTTATTTTTGAGAGAGGGAGAGAGAGACAGAGTGCAAGTAGGGAAGGGGAAGAGAGAGAGAGACACACACAGAATCTGAAACAGACTCCAGGCTCTGGGCTGGCACCACAGAGCCTGACACAGGGCTGGAACCCATGAACTGTGAGATCATGACCTGAGCTGAAGTCAGAAGCTTAACCAACTGAGCCACCCAGGTGCCCCATTTCTAGCTCTTTTATTTTTTATTTTATTTATTTATTTTTTAATGTTTTATTTATTTATGAGAGAGAGAGAGACAGTGTGAGCAGGGGAGGGTCAGAGAGAGAGAAGGAGACACAGAATCTGAAGCAGACTCCAGGCTCTGAGCTGGCTGTCAGCACAGAGCCCGATGCAGGGCCCAAACCCACGAACAGTGAGATCATGACCTGAGCCGAAGTCAGACGCTTAACGGACTGAGCCACCCAGGCACCCCTCTTCTAGCTCTTTTAAACTGTTTTCTCCATTCTCCACCAAAATGGTCAGCATGAAGTTTCTGTTTTTAGAATTCTGAGAAGATTTGGTACACAGTAGGTGCTTTATATTTACTGAATGAAAAAAAACCCAATACATGGATGGACAAATCTATTGGTCACCATGTTTACTCTCTTTGTCTTTGACTTTCTGATGAACCACAAAAATGAAATATACTCCATAGAAAAGAAGGCATGATAAGGATAGAGGCTACTTGCAGGCCCAGCTTAGGCTCATAGTTCCCATTGTGGACTATCCAGGCAGAGTCATAATGGGTCACATCACACAGAGGGTGTTTCCTTCAGTCAATGAGCAATTGGTAAACAACATGTTTTTCTGGGTCCAGGACCATGTAGGTGTTAGTCCTTCTAACTGAAGGGACAGTGTTAGCCCATGTAGAACAATGATATGAATCATGTAAATCAATAAATAGCCTTGTTTAGGGAGAATTAGAATCATAATTAAAGTTCAAAGAAAAGAGAGCTGAGTGGGGCTAGAACAGCCTAGAAAAGCTCCATTGAAGAGGGATTTGACCTTGATGCAGAGAACAGGTGAATGTTCATTCATTGGGATAAACTTGGGCCAGAATTCTGAACTCTGGTCCCACCTGGGTCACCACAGTGGCCAACCCCCCTTCCAATCTACCTTTCATAGTCTGCATGGCAGGCGAGATTTCCATCACCAGTAGAGCAGAGGGCAGCCTCACAAAGAGCAGTGCAATTTGAGTGCTGGTGAAGCCAACAGGCTTCTGAATTCTGAAGGTTGTTATTGCTGCCAGGCTGTAACCTAGACATATAAACTTGCTGCTTCAAATGTTCCATCAGGAAAATCGGCTGGGGAGCACTAATCCTAAGTGAAACCATCTTGATTACAAAGGAAGAAACTGACAACACCGTATCATTTAACCACTGAACTCTAGATGAAACACAAAGTGGCATTAAAGTTCTCTGCCTGTAATGCCTCGGTTTAAGCAGTTAATCTTATTTTAGCTGAATGGCATGTTCATTACAGCAAATAAGTAGGTAATATGTAGGATTACTGAAAGGAAAGATAAATTAAGCCATTTATGAGCATCGTGTTGATTTTTTTAACTGTCTGATTTAACTTGGTATTTTTCAACAGTCAGATCTAATATACACTCATCTAGTAGGGATTAAGTAGATGGGACTCTTGCCCAGAAAAGCTATTACATACAATTTAAGATACTAGTTTTAAGGGCAGCAATCCGTGATACTCAGCACTGTTTCCAGCCTGGAATCTTCAGTGCTTAAACTGAGGGTTCCTAAATGTTAAGATGGCATTTCTCTCTTTCCATTAAATATGTTTTCACCATTTATACTTCTCATGGGCAGCCGAAGGACTTTTCTTCAAGGTCTCAGATATCCTTCTGGGTGGAACTGCCAAAAAGACACCTGCCAACATAATGTATAGTGCAGGAATGTATTTTATCTCATTTACACATTCTTTTCTCAAGCAAGTATTGCTCTTACTTCAAATGCCATTCGCTGAGCTAGAAGTACAAGAGGAAAAGGAGATATATAGTCCCTGAACTCGAGAAGATTACAATTTAGCCAAGAAAAGAGGGACAGTAATCACAAATATAAGGAACCCAGGAAACGATGTGAGAGGGTGTATCATCAAGTGCCAGTTGCACAGTGCAGTCCATAAGAGGAAAAGAAACTAGTGCCTACTGAGCAATATGAAGCACTAGGTATTGGGCATCACACTGTAGGCTCTTCAATACTTAATCTCATTTAATTTGCACAATAATCTTGTGAGGACAGTATTATTACTTCCCATTTTCACAGCCTTCCAAAGTGAAGGCTCAGAAAAGTAAATTGCTTGCCCAAATAAGGGGAAAAACAGGTGTTTAAGCCCAGGTTGGATTGATTCTAAAGCCCTTGCTTCTTCTGTTATGTTAAACTGCTTCCTTAAAAAACATGAAGTATCAAGAACAGAAGAAAATCCTAAAAGATGTAGTGAAAGGAGGGGAATTGGATCTGAGTCAAAAGTTATCTTTAGTCCAACTTAAAAACAACAAAGTTCATTCCCAGTATCTATTTGACAATCAATTCTACTTCCAGGAATAGCCTAAAGAAATAACCTTTCC